GTTTTGTTTCTTTATACACTGTTAAACACCCCAGACAATACTTTTCAGACTGATATAACATTTCACTCTGTGAGTTCAAAGCATAGCAATGTATGCCTTACATGTACGAGTCACACAATCACCATTTAACACTTCAAACTCTTTGAGCGCATATAAACATCATGACGATGTATCGAAACTACTTAGACACGTTACCCTCTTCCATGCTATTATTGTCTTCTGGTCTCGCAACGTATAAACTTGGATCTATTACCTTTGGAATAGGTTTAATCTCTGTTCCAAGCTCTTGTTCAATACGATGTAAGTTAAAACGGTCTTCGTATGTGATTAGGTTAATTGCTATACCTAAATGACCGAATCGTCCTGATCGACCAATACGATGAAGGTATGTCTCTGCCATTTTTGGAAAGTCAAAATTGATTACGACGTTCACAGCTTGAACATCAATACCACGAGTAAACAGATCACTGCTCACCTATAGATAATACATTAATACAAAACTTTAAATTTTTCTATAAAATAAAATATTGAACTAAACTGATCTTTTTATTAAAGAAAGAAGAGACAATAAAGATACAATTTATTTAATATAATTTATATACTTACCAAGTTTCTGCATAGTCCTGCTCGAAAATCATGAAACACGCGATTTCGGTGTGCCTGCGCCATTTTCGCGTGTATATAATAACAGCAATATCCAAGATCTGTTATCTTTTTTGCAAGTAATTCAACACGTTGCGTTGAATTGCAGAATATTATACTTTGTGTTATTTGCAACTTAAAAAACAAAAAATGAATTAGGGAAAAAATACTTCGTTAAATAACAGTTTATTTCAATAAATTTTCATATGAAATATATTATGTAAAAAAAAAGTAAGTTTACCTTGGAGAACAGTGTGTTAAGACAATGAACTTTTTGTCGTTCTTGTACAAAGGCATAATATTGTGTTACACCTTTTAATGTGAGTTCTTCCATTAAATTGATCTCATATGGATCTCTTAAATGTTTTTCCATGAATTGCTTCACTGTCAGAGGAAAAGTGGCTGAATACAGCAGTATCTGACGTTCGTGTGGTAATCTAAATATATACAAAAAAATTGGTACATGACATGTCTAAAATAGAAAAATATCATCAATTTATATAATTATAAACTAGAATATGTACCTAGAAATGACATGATCCAACATTCCTTTAAAATCTTGTGACAGAAGTTTGTCTGCTTCATCCAAAACTAGAGTTTTACAGTGATCCATATTTGCGACGTTCTTATCCATAAGATCAAGAATTCTTCCTGGTGTTGCTATTATTACTTGCACTAAATACAAATTACGTGATAAGTAAAGTATTTTTAAAACTCAGTTCTTATAACTAGTTTTTATATTATATAAAAAGATATTCAATACAAACCTGTCTGGTAAATCCTCATAATGTCATCACGTAAGTCTGTTCCTCCAGTAGTTACCATTACTTTTATGTCCATATGTTTTGCCAGTTCAATGCAAATTTGTGATGTCTGAAGAGCTAACTCTCTAGTGGGTACAAGTACTAGTGCCTGAATCACATCTTTCCGTGGATCAACCTATAATAATATATTAATAACAACAATATTAAAGTTAATAAAATAAATAGAATTTACTAAAAAAGAACATCCAATTTTAATAAGAAAATTAATAAGGAATTAATATTATACAAACCTGTTCTAGTACTGGAATTGAATAGGCCCCAGTTTTACCAGTTCCATTCTTTGCACGGGCCAAGATATCTTTACCAGATAATGCAATAGGGATACTGGCTTCTTGAATTGGGGAGGGCTTTTCCCAGCCCTTTTCAAAGATGCCCATTAATAATTCTCGTTTTAGGCAAAACTCCTCAAATTCATTGCCACGAGTATCAGTAACATCCTAAGAATTCATACAAAGTTTTTATTAATCATTTAAAAATAATTAGAAATAGATAAAATAATTAAATTTATAAAATTTTATGAGCTTTTAATAAAAGACATATGTTTATAATAATATTAAAATGATTGCAATATATAACTTACACTAGTTTTAATTCGTTTGTCCTTTGGTGGAATTTTTAATTTGGCTTTCCAACCCACATCGTCCATTTTGTCTATCTCTGATTTGGTATTCAAACCAGAATTTAAGACATGATTGGAATTTATATGTGCTTCTGTCATCATTTTGGAAATGATGAAATATTATCTATTTGCTGAAAATATAAATTTTTCTTTATACAAGTGAAATATACTTCTAATACAATATAATAAAATACAGATACAATATAATACAATAGAGATATGATATAATATAATATATAATATTTGTATCTTACACAATAAAATAAATATATGAATCTATATATCTAACAAAAAATCAATACATCTATAATATTATAAATATTTCTTTAAATAGAGAGATAAATACTATAATTTTAATATAAATGAAATAAATTAATGATTCAACTAAAATAGAATGAATAATAAACACAATTATGAAATTACTTGAATTTATATGAACAGTTATAAGAACAGTTATACAGAACAAAAGGCAATATCAGGTAGAAGTGACCTGTTGAAAAGATCATAATAGGATGTAAACATCGCAGGTATACGCATTAGAAGGAAACTAGTTTTTATGTATTTCAACCTTACAAGAAGGTTTAACAGTTTGATATTGATTATTGATATTGTTCAGAAAAACTTTGAATTTTGATTACATTTGGATATATTGATTTTAGAACACCTAGATGTACATAAAAATATAAAACAAAATTATTACAAATTAATATAAAATTAAATTTGCAAATTAGAACTTAATTTAAAATGAAACTTTGAGAGATTACAATGCATTGTCTAAATTAATATAAGAATTAATATGTGCTACAATGATTGCAATGTATTTCATAATCTTTATATAACTTTTAACAGAAACAGCAATTACAACATAAAAAATTGTTTATAAAATAAATCAAACGAAATTTGTCAAATTGACTATATCTATGAGAAAAATACTTATGAGGGCAATTTATCTAGAAAGTCTGCCTAAGCAATATTTTCGAATATTACATGTACACGTATATCCAACAGAAAATCACTCCGTAATTAATATTAATCGCATGTTATTTAAAAAGTGTATTTTCAATATATTAACAAGACTGGCTCAAATGGTCTGCGTTAACATATCGTGGTAATACCGTCAGACATACTTGTGAACAGAATGGAAAACAGAGTGTAGAGTAAAAACCATCTGTACGAAGTCGATTTTCCTTTTTATGGAATAAGTCGAAAATTTTGTTCTATAAATGCATAGGGCCGAACGAAAAGTAAAATCCTCTCAAATACGAGATTATTGGTTTAACAAAATTTCTCGAAACGCAGAGCTACTTACCTTGAAATGGATGGATATCGATGCTGAGTTAAGCACTCGATTAGGAAACAACACGCCAAAATGGCCGTTCCAATGTCAAGTTTTCTTTGTAGTGCTTAACCGCCGCGTTCTTTCTTACGGAGCACTAACACGGATTACTTGCTCGAAAAGTGTATCGCGTAACACGCGGCACTATATTACGTTCTTTTCCGTTTGTAATATGAGACTAACGCACTGCGTCAAATGCGAGCGATAATTATTCTTCGTTGAACGTACACGACATGCGCCATGAAAGAGCGAGACCATTCAGATCAGAAACCGTTACGTTACTGCGCGCACTCTACCGATGATGGCGTTTAATTTTCATACAAAGCTTTAAGGCGCATCCTCAAGTTGTGTATCTCAAGCGTGCTGGATCGACTAGTTTATCATTGTTGCCGTTTTTATGAGATTCAAATAAAATAAAAGTACATAAATACAGAATTATCAATTCTGAAATGAGATAAGACTTGAGACTATTTTGTACAAAATTCAAATTACTCAAATTTTTATTTTGTCCTATTCTATCTTTTTCATGATTCGAATAATTCTTTCGTTGATAATAAATAAGACTATTAGCATCTTTGTACAAGAAACATAAAAACTTGCCTCAAATGAGCATTTTCACTGATTCGAAAAAAAATGGTATATTCACAAAAAAAGTGAAAGTTGATCATTTACGTTATGTACATAAATGTGTGTTTGTAAAGTATATATATGTATATGTATATGTATATATATGTATAAGTATATATATGTATATATATTAGATATGTATGTATGTGCATATGTACTGGAATAACAATACTACGATATTTCAAATTTAATTTCCACAGTGTTAATATTAACGAAATATATTCAATATATTATATTACACATTTCTGTATACGAATATGTCCAAGAAATAAAATTTGTCTTCTAGCTACAATTCTGTTCTTTCCTTTGAGATATTCGATATTTTCTACAAGCTTCGGGGCAATGTCGTTCCAAATATCGTCTTTGCGAGAATGCTTTGAAACATTCCCCGCATCGCCATTGCCATTGATGGTGATTCCGTGTCCTTTGATGCGCACGTAAATTTGATCTACAAAATATGCACGTTAAATCATAGTAGCAACTTTGTAAGACGATATAATCAACTTGATAAAATTAACTTGTCAATTCATTAAAAAAAATAAATAATTTGAATTGCACACGAATTACGTGACCAAGACACATTTGATCATCGTTCTTAAATTCTTATAAATTTTTCATCCTTGCAAAAATCTTCTATTGTATTCGCTCGATATCCGAAAAAAGCATTTCTCGTCATTCGTAACTCGTGCTGATGTATCTAGCATATCGACAAACACTGAGAAACAGAGAAGCATTATATACCGATCGGCGAAAGATTTATGGCAAACTGGACACTCGAAAGGTCGTTCACCAGTGTGAAGACGAAGATGACCCTTCAACACCCATGGACGATCGAAACTTTTGCGACAATACGGACAATAATGCATAGTTTTATTTCGTTTCCAATTTTGAGGATTCTCAATCCCCGATGTTTTCATGTTACCACCTAAATACTGGTTTTGGGAGTCAATCTGCTTCTTGGTACTCGGAGCAAGGTACAATGTTTGCGATGTCGTTTGATCCTCGATTCCATCAAACGTTCTATTCAAATTCACTGCCACCTTGATTTCGCTGTTACTTACATTAATCGGGTATTCTGATTTTTTTGTAGTATTTGGTGCCAACGGTATTTGCATTTTCTCCACTTTTTGTTCATTATTTGAGTCTATCGCTAGTTGGCTGGTATACGCGGAAGCATTCGCAACGGTCGATGATATCGTATTTTCGATTTCAGAGAAGTTTCTCATGCCTAATTCTACATCATTTACATGAAATTCTTTATTCCACAGTATATTGTTCTCTTTGTTGAACGTATACCGTGTTACAATTGGCAATCTTGAGGACATCCATATGTTATTACATTTCATAGAATTATCTTTGGCTTGTTGTTTTCTCTTGGCATCAGCCGACGATGGCGGAGTCCATGGTAATTCTGTCTCTGTTAATACGTAGGGAAAAAAACTTGCTCTGTTTTCATGCGATAATAATATACATTGCTCAGATTGTTAACAAATTTTTAGTTAAAAAAAAAAAGAGAGACATAAAATTCAAGACAAGGAACAACTTTATCATTCGTATACGATATATTTATTTATTCTTTTCATAACCACATTAGGATTTCACTCGCTGATGTCTTGAACATACTGTAGCTTACTGTACAGCGAAGAAATATTTCTTACCTTCGGGAGAATCAGTCTTTCTGTACCTTGTCATCGATTTGATCAAACAACGCGGCATGTTTTCACGGAGAACGGACGAACACAACTCGACAGAAAGAACGGAATACAATAAAGTGTTGGACGTTGCAACAGCGATGGAGCAAACCACTGTCACACAGTTGACAGGCATTTGTTACTTTCTGTATACTTTCAGTATTGTAGTGACGAAAGATTCACCCACAGCAAATGTGAGAAAAAAAGATGTGTTTCCAGTAGTTATTGATGGATCCTTTTTATCTTTATCGACAGTCTATTCAGAATAGAAAGAAATAATAAAGATACTATGAAACAATATGTTAGATTATATATTTTCTTGAAATATTTTCTCATCTATTCTCTCTAATCATAGGGCAGAGTCATTGATTGTTATCTTTTTAAACATAGTTTAGAAACATGTATAAAAATAATAGTATGTTAAAGATGGAATTCTTCTTTTGTAGGAAAATGTATTGTAAAAATTAATTTTTCTATTCATTGTAAGAGTATTAACACTTTTATTTGTATAATTCATAATTCATATTTCATACTTAAGAAAGAAAAATCGGATTTTTGTATAAATGCGTCGATGATGACAGTGAGAAATTGCTTATTATTGGAATAATTTTAACACAAATATTCGTTTCTAGTTTTGTAGAGGTCAAGTAAAGAATTGACGTACATATATAATCGAATCAACAGTTTTGTATACATTTCTTCTGATATCTGTACCTTTATAATACCTTGTATATAATTATTTCTTCGATCACATGGAATTTACGAATTTAATCAATAAACTTTTAAACGAATAATCATTCTTAAAAGTATGATTCGTGTAATTACATATTATAAAAAATATCTTTGAAAAATATTTATTTAAATATTCATTTTTATTTAACTCTTCTGAGATTCCATTGTTATAATTATTAACTTTTTCATCAATTTATATTAACTTAATATTAATCTTAACACACGTATGTAAAAATGAAATTATACATATGTGTGTAAATCACCGTGTATTTAAAAATTTAATCTCATTCGAAACCTGAATAAAATTATAAATTGAAATCTATATTAATATATAATGACCTACACAGATACATTCATAACAATACATGTATGATTATGAACACGACCTCAGCTATATAATTTTGGTACGTTTCCTACAACGGTCTTTAGTGTTTAGATAACAGCCATAGTAGTAAGGAGAAGCCGAGAATTTCGATACATGTTATTGAAACTCTGTTAGGATAGTCTATATAGAGGTATTATTGATATATCTCATTTCTTCACACATGTAGTGAGGAATTCTAGTAAGTATGTTCAACTGAAATATTTTATTTCTATTTCTACGTTTTGTTGGAAATAATTTCATCAATTTTTCTTATAATAATCTCCCTTTACGATAAATAGGAACGAATCAACGATAAATGTAAAAATTATGGATTGATTTAATGTAAATAAATTTTTAAACAATTCGTATTAAATTTTACTTGATACTATGAATTTTGTAGAGAGATTTATTTGTGTATAATATATTTACATTTACCTAAAAACTACACTTCTCTATAAAACAAAAGGAACTTAATTTTCTCTAGGATTCTCTTTTTTTTTTTTTGTCATAGAACTGAGAGTGAGAAACTGAAGTTACTTTTCTTTCTTTTGAAATTCAAACAAATTCGAACTATTCAAAATACCGAATTCAAAAAATTTTTTTTTCCATATTCGTTTCAATGTGGTCTTATAAAAGTAAGTCTTCTTTCTACAATGATCGCTCAAAAATTTTTTTCGCGATTCCATTGTGCTTTAAATGAAAATGCCTTTACCTACATTAGAATAAGCGAAGAAGTATGGGGAAGATCTCACGATCAGATTTGAATCTTGTCTGTGATCAGTGCGTGTGCCTATCATGTGTGTTTATGAGATTTCATCTTACCAATTTCTCGCATCGTGGAATTATAAAAAATAGTTAAACTCTTTCGGTTACTCTAATGCAAACTCTTTATTTAAAGTATAATAAAACAAAAGTTTGGGAACTTTTAGACAATCCTTGTAAAGTTGAAACTTCTTCTAATAAGATCATATTGAGATATCGAAGAGATATGAAACGAATATGGACAGAAATTTTTTAAACTTCGTAGAGTAGTTTGAATTTGTTTTTCACTCCGTTCTATAATAAAAAGGAATTCTAAAACTACGTTCAAGAATGTGAAAACTTCACACATTAAAATGAGCACAAATAGAATGTTTTCTTTTTCTTACAAAAATTATAGAAGCTTAAAAATCTTCCTGCTATAAATATACAATTTTTTTGCTATAATTTAGCAATTTTTTAATTTTGTAAAGAATCTATTAATGTATTAAAAATACTGATTAATTTGTTGTTTATTATTCATATTTTATTATTTATGTTTAGTAAAAAAATATAATTCATGATACGTGAGAAACATTGATGTCACAATGAGTGTCACAATGATTGATATTTAATGCTAATGAATTCTGTTATAACACTTTATCATTTTGCTTTCTTACATTCATTATATTAACAAAAAATTAGATATTTTTCAACGACGATTAATGCCAGTAAAAATGACATGAATATAAATTTCAAATTAATAGAAAAATATAAATATGATAACTGTGGTAAACAAATATTTGTAAAATATACCAACAATTTTTCCAATTGAAATAATTTTGATCACAATTCATTGATGAAAGTTTGACTAAGATATGGTATGATTTAAAATGGAAGTTAATTTGAAAAAAAAAATTATTTCAGATTATGTATCGCAAGTTGTTCGTGTTTCTCGTCATAACTGTCTTCAACTCGCGCGTCAGTACCACAAGTAAGTTTATATTTTCCAATTAGATCTAGTAATTCATTTCAGCTACGTTGTATACTTGCATCCTCTTCTTTTCCAATTTGAAGCTATACGTTGCGAACCACCGGATTACTTCTTATGCAACAACGGAAAATGCATTTCGTCCGCCTTCCGTTGCGATGGAGAAAGCGAGTGCGGTGACGAATCTGATGAAATGGATTGTAAAGGCTTCCAAGTACGTACTCAGTCATAATTATGATTAAAACGATATTTGCGAACTTTTATGTATTTATGGGAAATGTGGAGGTATAAATAGACATACAATGCAAATAATAGGGAAAAATATTTAAAGTATAAATAATTACTTAAATAATATAAAAATATTATAATTATAATATTGGAGGATGAGGAATATAAATGTGGAGGTATAAATAGACATACAATGCAAATAATAGGGAAAAATATTTAAAGTATAAATATTTACTTAAATAATATAAAAATATTATAATTATAATATTCCTTATATAATATAATTTAACAGGTAATATAATTTAATATAGTTTATAGTATAATATAGTTTAATATAGCTTAATAGGTAAAATAAAATAATTATTTACTTACATTATCTTCATAAATGGCATAAATATCTGCAGCTTAATAATAATATGCTTATAATAACTAGAAGATTTTGTAGTTAAGTAAATTAAAATTACTCGCAAGAAATTATAAAATATTCGATGCTTTGAATTACTCTTCCTATTAAGTTATTACATGAAACTTTCGAAAGCTATATTGATCAACTCCATAAATTGAAAAGCATAGAAAAATGATAATAATATAAATTATTTTTTAAATTTAATGAAAAATAATGAAAAATAATAGAAATTATTTTTTTAATTCAATGGTAAATTTTGAATTTACCATTATGTTATTTTCATAAATGAATTTATGAAAATAAACCATTTTTTTCTCGAGAACTGATTATTAATCCTGGATGAAAGTAAGAAACTATTTTTTATTAATAAAAGTTGATTAATTTGGTTTCTCATATCTAACAATGAAATAAAAGTATACGTTTAATATGTGGCTAAACCTCTCCAATTGTTTCAGATTGATCTTAAAATGATTCGCTGTGCTGCAGATGAGTTCCAATGCTCCGATCATTCTTGCATACCGATAGAAAAATTTTGCGACGCGAAATCTGATTGTTCCGATGGAAGTGATGAGCATGATGATTGCGTGAAAAATGTAAGATTAAAATTTTTACTCTTTAACAAATAATAGTTCTAATATAACGTAGTAAGGAAACGAAAATCATTTTTCATAGAAATAAGACAAGCAAAATTTTAAGTTTTCAAAGTGTAAATGTATAAAATTGTACAAGCCAGTTAGTCGAAATAAAATCAAATTGGACAATTGATTTCCGGGATCAGTTCAAATTTAGAACCGTGCGAGAAACATCGAAACCGAAACAAATTCATTCAAACAATAAAGAATGTTTTAATTAATTTTTATATTTCTAATGAAATATAGCCTAGCCAACAGTTTTGGTATCGTGCTATATCGTTGCAAATAATTCTAAAATCCAAACGGCCAAATCTTCATAACGCTGAATTTTTAAAATCGTTCATTTTCGTGAAAAATGACTCCCATTTTCGAACTTAATAATTTAATAAAATATCCTTGAAAAGGTACAAAGTCCGAATACTGTACAGAGTGTCTCACTTACAAGCTGTAATCATTACAGATATCGAGTTGAAATTAATCAGTTATTTATAATTTTTATTTTAAGCAATAAGAATGCGAATAAGTTATATATATATATTTTTTTATTATTATATATTATATATATTTATTTTTATTTATTATAATATTTTTTTATTTATTATTATATTTTTATTTTATATATTATATATATTTATTTTTTATACATATAATATATATTTTTTTTTTTTTTTTGCAATGCGAAATTTTTTAATGTTTTGTAATTTATACGTATTTCTTGACACGTTGTAGCCTAAGTAAATTTAGATATTATATAAATTACAAATATTTTGTAATTAATATATTTTCAATCACTACAGTTACAATGCGATAGATTCAAATGCAAAGATGGTCATTGCATAAGAAACGAGTGGGTTTGCGACGGAGTTCCAGATTGTCCAGATAAGAGCGACGAAGAAAAATGTGGTATTTCTTCGTTAAGTTACTTTTACATTAAACAGATTTTACGAGTTTCAAAATATTGCGATTTCATGTTTTTACAGAGAACAGTATGATACCAATCAATAAATGTAACAACGAATACGATCGATATCTATGCAAAAATGAAAGATGCATCTTCCTAAATGCAACATGCAACGAGAAAGATGACTGTGGTGATAACTCAGAAGAAAATGTAGATGCATGCAAGAAGGGTAAGAAAATATATTATTTCGATTCGATAATGTAAAATCTTTTTTTGTTATTATATTTGATAATTTTTAAGACTATAACTGACCGATTTAATTGCTTCAAAATTAGCTGATGCAGCGTGCAAAGAAGCAAATTGTCAACATAACTGCAGAAAAACACCTGTAGGTGCTCAATGTTCGTGTCGATCAGGTTACAAGTTGGTGAACAACCAGACTTGCGAGGGTAAAACTAAAAAATGCAATATACTTTTCTTCTCGGATTAGCACAGATACAAAAATATTAATCGTCAAAGTTATTTTTCGGTCACATCTACTGTTTTTTTTATAGATGTGAATGAGTGCGATGATTACGGAACTTGCGATCAAAAATGTATCAATAATGCTGGATCTTACACTTGTTCATGTCAGTCTGGTTATAATCTGGACGATGATCAAAAAACTTGTAAAGTCGAAGGTAAATTTCTTTTCAAATTTATGTAAGTAATTGAAGAATTTTATATCTTATAAATGATAGAATAAATAAGAATGTTAAAAAAAAGGAATAAAAATTTTAAAAAATAATTTGAAAAATAAAAAAATTCGTACGTTTGTATTTTATTAAGCATTAGCTATTTTACTACATTACGAGAAATCTAACTTTTAATATTTATATTTTATCATTAATTTTTATTTTTATAATTTATATTTTATTATATTTATATTTCAATATTTATATTTTATTATTGATATATTTCTAATTAATATCTTTTTCCATTGCTTAACCATAGGTGGCGAAGCTGAAATGGTGTTCTCGATTAAATCTGAAATCCATGGTGTTTACCTTAGTTCTGAAATATATTATCCCATAACTCGGAACTTGCAACATGCCGTGGCTGTTTCCTTGGACGCGAATTACATATATTGGTCCGACATCGAGAACGGAAATGAAGCAATAATCAGAAGCTCAGTGGATGGCACGCAGCGAGAAATCATTGTTACAACAGGTAAAATTCAAATTAATTTAACATTATATTTCTATATTACAAGACCATATACTTTATTGCAAAAATTCAATTCTACTTCATTACAAAATCTTTTTCTTTACATTATTAGATCAGATTCGCAAAATATAAGTTACTAATAATTTTCTTTGATTCTTAAAATTTTATAATCCTTTAAGGTTTAAACAATCCTGATGATATGGCAGTAGATTGGGTAACAGGCAACATATACTTCACGGACAGTGGTTACATGCACATCGGAGTTTGCAGCAATGATGGTTCTTATTGTACTGTTATAATAGAAGAACCGAACGATAAACCGCGAAGTCTTGCTTTATTGCCATCCAATGGGTGCGTACGTTTCAAATATAAAAGCCTAAACAATTGAAATTCAGTAGCATCTTCTCTCGACATTGGAATTAAAAAAGAAATATTTCTTAAATCTCTCTAAATATCTTTCATTTAACTTTTTAAAGATAGAGATATTGTCAAATTTTACACTTTATTTTCATAAGATTACTATGTTTTATAGAATTTCATTACACATTTAATAATGAATGATCTAAAAACTAAAGTTCATGTACAAGATAAATAATAA